CAGGCCAGGGTACAGAGTGCCTGGGGCACGCTGAGGTGCGGGGCGGTGCCAGGCAGGGAGGTGGGTACTGGGGCACAGACACCCCCGTGCAGGTGTGCCCGTGCTGGTGGAGGAGCGTGGAGGGACGGGGCGCTCAGGGACGGGGTGGTGGCCATGCCGGTGGAGCCGGGGGGGGCCCGGTATTAGAGGGGGGCTGCGGTGGGGTTCTGCACGGTGACACGGGTGGTAGTGGGGCTCCTGTACATGCCCGTCCCTCCTGTACGTGCCCCGCACACGGCTGTGCCGCAGCCCCTGTCATGGTGGCAGCCCCAGCCGTGCCCTCCCGTGGCACTGAGGGCACCGGGCCCTTCCGAGCCACGCGGGAGGACGGTGCCACCGGCCCGGGTACCAGCCAGGAGTGGGGCCGATGCCGGTGGGGTGGCAAGAGCCGGCTGCTGCCTGGCTCTGCGGTTTGACGTGAGTCAGCAGAGCGGTGTGCGGGGAGGGAGCCCTGATGCCGGCCCCGTTCCCCACCAGGCAGCTGGTGAACCCAGGCCGGAGCGGGGCGGTGTGGCCGGCGGCGTGGCCAGCGGCGTGGCGTGACCATGCAGGCGGAGGCCAGAGGGGATTTCTGCGGCAGGGACCAGCACTCTGGTGGGTGGGGGCTCAGGGAGGGGGTGAGAGTGGGGTCAGGAGGCTGCCGGTGGCAGGGGACAACACGCTCCAGGCGGTGACACCGCCGCGTCACCCACCGGCGCGTGGCGTGGGATGGCAGGAGTGGGCAACCCCCGGGGAGCTCTTCCCAGCATTGGAGCGGGGAGAGGACCCCGTTTCCCAGCCGGAGGGATGTGCCGGCAGTGCGGGGTGCCCGGTCCCACCTTGCGGGGTGAGGACGCGGCAGAGCCGGTGTCGGGGCAGGGGTGTGGGTGTCCCGTGGCTCCGTGTACCAGGAACAGGAACCGACCGCCCCCGTAACGTCCCTTTCCCCATCCCGGCTCCTTTGGGTTGGGGGGATTTCTGTCCCCTGCCCCACCATCACCATCCTGGGGGGAAGGAGGAGATACCTGTCCCCGTGCCATCTCGTCCGGCAGCGCGGTGATGGCAGGGCCCGGTGGCATGTGGTGCCGGCTTCGTCCTGCCCCAGCACCGGCCCTGGGTGGGCTGGGGACCCACACACGGTGGTGCCCGGTGCTGCCCTGGGCACACAGGGTCTCCTGCCCACCCTCAGTGCCCGGAGGGGTGCCCAGGCACGGCTGTGCCACAACCACGAGCTGTGCCATGACCACGGTCGGCTCGGCCCCGCCGGCTTTTGCCGGGAGACAAACCGCCCCTTGTCTGGGCTCCGGCACAGGCCGTGCTTTTGTCTCACCGACACAAAGGGGCTGTGCGGGGCAGGGGGTACAGGGCTGCCGGCTGTCGGCACAGGGGCCCGGGGTCCTGGGTAGCTCTGCCCGTTCCCCCGGCCCCCCCCGGGGGTCCCGCTGCTCCCGTCCCCCTCGGCTCGGACACCCCGAGGGGGCTGGCGGGGCACCAGGACGGAGCTGCCATCACCGACGCGGCAGGTGCCGGTATCGCAGAGCTCGGCAAGGAGGTGCTGGCCCCGGAGCACCCGGCGGGGACCCCCACCCACGGGCCGGCCCAGGAGACCCCCGGAGCCCCCGTGGAGGAGCAGGGTGGCATTCCCATCCCCAGCGCCGGCCTGCTGCAGGTCACTGAGCGCAGACGTGAGTGCCGCCCTGCGCGGGCAGCCCTGCCTGTCCC